TGTGTGACCTCATAAACAGGTCACTTGGCCTCCCGGGGTGTGTTCTTCTACCTGGAAAAGGGGAGGGCCAGGGGTCCCAGGGGCAAGCTGTGCCTACTGACTGGCGTCTCGCAGGAGCCAGGCCAGCGTGTGCTGCTGCTGCTGGTCCCCAGAGATGCAGGGCAGTGAGGCCATCTCCAGGGGGGCTCTGTGGACCACAGGCAGTTCTGAGCTGCTCACCTGGTGCCTCCCCAGGAGCTGGAGCGGAGGCATGAGCAGCAGCAGAAGATCCTGAAGATCAAAACGGAAGAGATCGCGGCGTTCCAGAGGAAGCGGCGCAGCGGCAGCAATGGCTCCGTGGTCAGCCTGGAGCAGCAACAGGTGGGGCCTGGGCTGGGCCTGCATCCCTGGGAGTACCCGCAGCCCTCCGGGTTGCCAGAGGCCCCTGGGGCTCAGCTGGCAGGTTCGCTGTTCTCCCCCTCGGACCCTTGGCCCAGGGTGAGAGCTGAGTTCCCTCCCTGCCTCCCCCACCCTCCCCCAGAAGATCGAGGAACAGAAGAAGTGGCTAGATCAAGAGATGGAGAAAGTCCTACAGCAGCGGCGGGCCCTGGAGGAGCTGGGGGAGGAGCTCCACAAGCGGGAGGCTATCCTGGCCAAGAAGGAGGCACTGATGCAAGAAAAGACGGGGCTGGAGAGCAAGCGCCTACGGTCCAGCCAGGTGAGGTCCTGCCAGGAGAAACCTGTCAGCTGGGTTTCTGCTAGTTGAGGTTTCTCCAAGTGAGATTCCATTAGGTGGGTCCTTCCGTTTGAGGTCCCTCCAGACAATAACCCTGCCAGGTGAGGTTCTTCTGGGTGATGTCCCATGTAATGGCCATGTAAGCTGCAGCTATGTGAAGTTCGGTCCTACAGGGCTTACACCACCTTAGGGTGTTTATGATGCAGGTTCTGATGTGCGGCTATGCAGGCAGAACAAGGAATAGCAGGTGTAGACAGGAGGGCTGACCATGGAGCACCGGCACTCAGTGGTGCTGGAGGCAGACAGACCTGGGCACGTGGCCTGGTCACCTCCGTCCACCCTGCATCATTGCTTCTTTTTAAATAAGGAGCTTCTCAGCCAGTTGCCTCTTCAGTCAAATGGAGTCACAGTGTTGCCATGCAGATGAGAAGGGGGTATGTCAAACACAAAGCCCAGGGCGGGGCCAGGAGCAGGTGCCTGGCTAGGTCCCTGCAGGGGTCCAGCCCCACTGCTGCTGCCATTCTAGAACACTTGAGTCCAAGGGGCTTCAGGGCGCTGCTGGATTGTCTGGAACTTCCCTTTGCCCTCAGAGCCCTCTCTTCCTCCCACATCGGGCTCCCAGAAGGGCCTGCTCTGCTCTGCTTCCAGCTGGGTCTCCCCCATTTTGCCAGGAGTGCCTTTTCATGTGCTTGTCTTGTGTCCTTCTGGGCCATCGATGGGGGCCCCTCCTCAGAGGCTCCAGTCCCTCGGGCTCCACTCCCTCAGCTTCCGCAGGCCTCCCCGCTGAGCAGCGCTCCTGGATCTTAGGGCTTGAGGGAAGGGCATCATCCCAGGGCGGGGTGAGGTAGTGTCGCTGCCATAACTCCTGCTCCCTCCTTGACCCCCGGCGGGGCTGCCCCCAGGCCCTCAGCGAGGACATCGTGCGTGTGTCCAGCCGGCTGGAGCACCTGGAGAAGGAGCTGTCAGAGAAGAGCGGGCAGCTGCGGCAGGGCAGTGCCCAGAGCCAGCAGCGGCTCCGCGGCGAGATCGATGCCCTGCGCCAGGAGAAGGACTCGCTGCTGAAGCAGCGCCTGGACATTGACAGCAAGCTGCGGCGGGGCAGCCTGCTATCACCCGAGGTGAGCCCTGTGGCTGGCCTCCCCCCAGCCTGGTGCCGGGCCCTGCTGCTTCCTGAATGTGCTTTTTCCGCAGGTGAGACTCAGAGAGGGGGGTGGCTCCTAGGGTTGCTGGCCTGGCCCTGTCGTCAGCTCTGGGACACACAGGCTGGGCCCTGGGTGTCAATCCACGTGTTACATGCTTGGGCTTGTGTGGGAATGAGTGTCGGCAGCATATCCCCGCACCTGGTGGCCAGTCCCTGAGCAGCAGGGAGAGCTTTGTTGCTATAAACTTCTGTGCTCGGAAGCAGTCTCCCCATGCTTCCCTTGGGCAAAGGGTCTTCTGTGCTTCCTGCTAGAGATCATGTGAGGCGGTGCACTGCAGAAAGTAGCCTCCCAGAGCCCTGGCCTCCCCCTGGGGTTGGGGCTGTAATGGAAGCTTCCTGTCCCTGCTGTGCTGACTGCGTGCTCAGGACGAAGGGACACGACATCTCCCTTGTGGCTACAAGCTGTTGCTGTCTGCCCTGGGCTGTCGTTCAACCGCTGGGTGCGTGTGGTAGAAGCCGGGCCTCCCCCTTAACACATGCCTTGTCCTGCAGGAGGAACGGACGCTATTCCAGCTGGATGAGGCCATCGAGGCCCTGGACGCTGCCATCGAGTATAAGAACGAGGCCATCACATGCCGCCAGCGGGTGCTGCGGGCCTCAGCATCCTTGCTTTCCCAGTGTGAGATGAATCTCATGGCCAAGCTCAGCTACCTCTCGTCCTCAGAGACCAGAGCCCTGCTTTGCAAGTATTTTGACAAGGTGGGTCTGCGGCCCCCAAACCCCCTGCCACCGCCTTCTGGCCTTCAGGTGAGGGTGGGTCTGATGACAGCTGCAGAGGTAGCTCCATTTCCTCCCAGGCTAACTCCAGGCCACCTTGGACTCTGCTTTCTAAAACCTGCCTTAGTGAAACTAAGACCCAGTACTCTCCCCCACCACCTTCCCCTGCTTGGCCCCTCCAGTGGACCCGGATCAGTGATTCTTATCAGGGAGGTTTTGCCCCCAGGGGTCCAGAGATGCTTCTGGTCATCACAGTAGTGGGGGGGTAGAGACCAGGGATGCTGTCAGACCCCCACAACCACAGTTCTCTGCCAACGATGTCACTAGTGCCAAGTTGAGATATCCTGGCCTCAGTGAGATCCCACAGCTTGAGGCTCTGCCTGGGAGCCTAGGAGCACCTGAAGAGGAAGGAGATTGAGGCAGGGATAGAAAGTAAGCTTCATCTTGAGAGCTGACTCTTGTCATCACAGTAAGTCACCAGCTGGGACACTGTTGAGGTGTCTGAGGCCAAGTCTTGGCTCAGTGGAACACCCTGGCAATTTCTTAGTGACGTCTGCCCCGGGGGGCAATGGTGGCAAGTTGGCCGAATACCTGCTGTCCCTGGTGGCAAAGGGAGCCAGAGCTTGGGGCTGAGTGTGTCTGGGTTTGGGACAGGTAGTAACACTCCGAGAGGAGCAGCACCAGCAGCAGATTGCCTTCTCGGAGCTGGAGATGCAGCTGGAGGAGCAGCAGAGGCTGGTCTACTGGCTGGAGGTGGCTCTGGAGCGGCAGCGCCTGGAGATGGACCGGCAGCTGACCCTGCAGCAGAAGGAGCATGAGCAGAACATCCAGCTCCTTCTCCAGCAGAGTCGAGGTGAGGCACCCCAGGCCCCACACACTCCCTGGGCCCAGCCCCTGGCTACCCACCCGCCCACAGCGTCTCACCACCTCCTCGGTCTCTGCCCTCCAGATCACCTTGGTGAGGGGTTAGCAGACAGCAAGAGGCAATATGAGACCAGGATTCAAGCTTTGGAGAAGGAACTGGGCCGCCACATGTGGATGAACCAGGAACTGAAACAGAAACTCAGCAGTTGGAATGCTGCAGGCCCAAGCAGGGGTAATTCTCACCTGAGTCTGCGAGCTGGGCCACGTTTTGCCCTGCCTTGTAGTGTCAGGCTTCCCTCCCTGGGGGAAGCTTTAAAACTGTGCGAACTCCAGCTCTTCCCAGGGTAGTTCACACATGGCATGGCTTCCTGGGCTGGGGCCTGAAGAAGTGGGGCTGCCCTGGAAGGCACTGCCTCCACCTCTGATGAGCGCATCCTTTCTCCCAGTGACAGGTGGGGAGAAGAGGACCCTGTGCCTGGAGAACAGACCACCCCCTGGAACTGAGGAGGAGCTCCCCACTGGCCCTGAACTGCTCTGGCAGCAGCCTCTGCCCGACAGCGTCCCCCGTGCCCGGGATGAGGTGCGGGATGTGGTCCGGGCCCCACTGCCACTGACGTGGAAACGCTCGAGCCTGTCCGGTGAGGAGCCTGGCTCTCTGGAGGAGCTGCGGCCTCGGGAGGCCACTGAGCCCCTGGTGGGACGGGTGCTACCTGGGGGTGAGCTGGGGCTGCCCTGGAACTTCGGGCCCTTGGCCACACCCCGGCGGGACTTGCGCCGAGGCAGCCCAGGGATGATTGACGTCAGGAAGAACCCCCTGTAGGCTCATGGGCAGGGGACACTCCAGGCCTGCAGCAAGGTCCAGCTGCCTGCCTTTGCTTCTGGGAAGGGCAGTCTTTACCTCCCACTGCAGATCCAGGTCCTGATCTTGACACAATTGGAGTCAGCAAAATTGGGTTACAGCCCAAATGAATTCAACTCAATTTTTAAAAAATATGCTAAGTCCTGCCTCCCACTTCCTTTGAGCTTTGGTACCAGATTGCCATTTTTGGCTTGAATGTGCGCAAAAGGCAGTTCTGGTCTCAAGACTGTGTGGCTGTGGTTGAGCCAGTGCTGGACACAGAACAATTAGTGACAACAGGGTTGTGTGTTAAGTGGTCTTGTTTTTATGGTGGGAAACTTTGTGTATTTTTAGAATCTTGTAAAACCATTTTATAATAAATGAGAATCTCTGAAGGAAGAAATGGGAGTTTTGACTTGGTCTGATGTACAAGCCAAGAGAATCAGATTGGAGGACACAATGGGCTTGAAAGCTTTTCAGAGTTCCTGAGACAGGCCTAATTAAGAAGCCCTAGTCCTGCCCCTGGCCAAGACTGCCAGCAAGCAGTTCCCCAGGACCCTCCTGGCTGCTCCATGACACAGGCATCTCCCCGTGCACAGTGAGGATGGGGCCGGGGCCGGGCTGGGTTTCAGGCTGACCCGGAGACGCAGCTGCTCCAAGAACCACTAGCGCTCGGCCTGAGTGAGTCAACCAGAGACTGTGAGCTTAAACAGAAAGGCCCAGAATGCTAACTAAGTAGCCAGAGAGGATTTTTTTATTACATGAGGAATGAAAGAAATTTATTCTGCCATGGGACACAGCCTTCAACTTTTCAAGGGACCTGTGGGGAGCCCTTTCTCCTACTTCACAAGTGAGATGGGGGGGTTGTCGGACTTGCCTTGGTCTCTCAGAGGCTAGGGCTGGAATGGGAGCCCCTACAATTCCGTTTGCCCCCAACCCCCAGGCTGAGTTAGGGCACCAGCTATACCACCTCCCTAACAAGGGGGCTAGGGTGGGGGATTGGGGTACCAGGTGGGAAGGACACATTCCAAGAGGATTAAAACCCCTAAGGCACTCTTGTCAGAATTGATAGAGGACAGTAAGAGAGGTGCAGGCCCAGGCCCCCCCTGTTCCTTTATGCTCACAGGGACTGGGCTGACTTCCATCTTTGAGCTTCCTCAGTTCCACGGAGCCCTGGTTCTTCATGTTTCTGTGCAGCAAGCCCAGGGTTAATGTAGGACAGATAAGCTGGGCCCTGGCTCAGCGAACTGAGTGTCTATGTAAGAATTCCTCTGTGGTATGAGCCTGAACTCCTACCCTGTCCACAGAAAACTGCTCCTGGCACACTTCCTCTGTGTAGGGAGTATAGGGGTTCTAGCTCAGCTTGGTAGTGTTGTTATAAGTCCCCTGGCCAGTTCTGTCCTAACTAGCTAATCAGCTTCTTTCGTGAGTAAGTTCTGCTGATGGGGCGTCTCCTGGAGATTGCTCGGCTGAACGGAGATTCTTCAGCCGTGGTGGGGAAAACCTCTGTATCCTCATCTAGAAAAAGGCAGAAAGGGCTTGAACTGGAGAGTGATACACACACAGGTGGACTTAAACCCTGCAGGTTTGAGTGCCGCTGAAGCACTGCCCATACTTGTCACAAGGCTCTCCGCCCCCACATCAGCACTGAGCTTGTGACAGTAAGTAACTGAAAAAGTAAAGTGCTGTGGGTTGAATTCCCTCAGCTGTATTGTACATTGTTTTGCGTGATTTATATCCTGAGGGAAGGGAATCACTGGAGGGCCCCTATCTCCTGCACTCCCCTTCAGTTCTAGACACTCAAGTCCTTCCCCAGGTCAGGTGCAGTAAAGGGAATCCTTGAGTCTGAAGGCTGTGCATGCCAGCCAGTCCTTAATCCTAGCTTGTGTACAGAAGTGTACACCCCTGGAGGGAAGCAGCTGGCTGCCAGTGTGCCACCTGTGTCCCATGCTGCCTGACACGCGTTCCTCAGGCTCCAGGGACTAGAGCCACGTGGTGTGTGGTTATGTCCACAGCTGTCACTGCTTAAGGAAGCTGAAGAAAATAGAGCAGGAACTGAGGTCTGCTTAATGACACACTGGAGTTCTCAGGTGGAGTTTCTCTGGGAAGAGTACATGATACCACAGGGACAGTCATCTGTCCCCTACTCGGGCCATCTGACTCCTCCACCATCCATCCAGCTACCTGGCAACCCTGAGCTAACTCTGGGGAGTCACCCAAAGGACACAGGTTTGATCCTGTAAGTCTCCAGGACCATTAATGGACAAATTACCTCTGGCTTCGTGACATCGCGAAGAAGGGGTCTTCCCTTGGAAGAGCAGTGGAGACTGGGTGAGTGCCTGCAGGCTGCTGGTGGAAAGGCAGCTCCGCACCGCACAACCTGCCGGGGGTGTGGAACCTACAGCGACAACATGCGATGGCACAGGGTAAGCGCGGCCCCGCAGCACCCCAGACCAGGGAGCCAGAGCCTTTTCAGGAAGCACCTCCCTGCCCGCCCGGCCAGCTGCCAGCCAAGGGCCCCAGACTCACTAGAAATAAACACCTCGTTGTCCCCTGTGGAGGGGAGGTGCCGCCCACTCATACTCGGAGAGTGCTCCTCACTCCTGCTATGGTCTGTGTCTCCTCTCTGCTCATCACACGCTCTCTTGGCTTGACACTCCGCTTCCTCCTTGGCAGGAAGGAGCCTCTTCCTGGAGCCCAACCCAAACTGTCCCCAGAAGGCTTCCTCAGCCTGAGGCACACTGTCCCTGGGAGGTGACTGATCTGGCAGTTGGCACACCCCCTCAAGCTCAAAATCCCCCAAGAGGGGAGTCCTACAGCTGCTGAGTTCAAGGCCTGCTCGCTCCCTGTGTTCCGGCTCGAGCAGGGACACGCCTGCAGGAAAGTCAGTGCCGACTTCGCTCCTGCCAGCGGAGCTGCCGCCCACTGCCCTCTTCCTCCGGGGCCAGTCTTTAATGGTGTCAGGAGTGGTCTTCCCGCCGTGCTTGGGAGACGGGGTCCAAGGAACACCGACATCTGTTTGAAACGGAGAGGGGGTGCTGGAGGGGCAGCGGGTCGGGGTACAGGACTGGCAGATGTAGGTCTGTCCTCCGCTCTTGCCGGGGGTGCTGTGCGCGGGGCGCAGGCAGGGGGTTGACATGTAGGTGGCTTCAGGTTTACCTGAGGCCTTACTGGCCTGGGACATGCTGCTGAGTCCAGGGAGGGAGCTCTCCTCTCCCAGGGAGCCCACCTTCTGTGGTGGATCAGCTTCAGATAGACAGCCGGGGTCTACCTTTTTAATTCGAAGCTTAGGAAGGCCAGAAGCTTGCATCTCCAGCTCCACCTCATAGGTCTGTGGGCTGGCAGAGGCTTTGGGAAACCAAGATGAAGCTCGCAGGTTCTCTAGCTGGGAGGCTGCCTGGCGCTGCCTCCTGTCTGCGGTGCAGCGCAGGTCATATGACAGGGTCGGAGGTGAGCCGGGCTGAGGGGATGGAGGAAGCCCGTGGTGCGACAGAGAAGGCTGCTCACAGGTAACCACAATCCTTGACGCCTCACCTTCTTCCGCTGGTGTGACATGACTTTGTAAGCCATTACTGCCATGGTGCTCTGCTTCGTCCAGGAGAGTGAGATACTCTGTGTCGCTCACAATAAGCAGAGGAGAGGACAGACGCCAGTCACTGTTGAAGCCAGTCCCACAGTAACTGTGTCTTTCAGGAGAAGGCTGAGGAGAGAGGGTTGCTTCCTTCTGGTCTTTTCTGGCATCTGTGATGGCAGCTAGGTTGCTAGCTGTGGTAACCCTAGGAGCAGCAAAGGGACTAGGCTGACGCTGCAAGGAGCTGCTTTCAAGATTAGAGGTGTCTCTCTGCCTTTTTCCAATTTTAGAAGGGAACAAAGGGGGCATGGGGTCAGACTGGGCTATCAGTGAGGTTCTGGGGGGCGTTGAGGGCACAGGGCAGGAGAGAGACGAGGATACAGTGGGTGCTTTCTGGGGCTCTTCCCAATCCAGTTCTTCAGGGGGAGGAGATTCTATCGAAAATTTCCAAAATGGACTTTTTGTGGAAATCTCACCTAAGGGAGAGGTCAAAGGTTTTTCTGGAGGAGGAGGTGGGAGAGAAATCAGATTTGTACTCTCCAGTGTCTTGGGGACTGAAACAGCTTTATCCTTCCATTTCTGGGCTAGCTCCTCTACCTGAGGAGCCCAGGGGACACAGGGATGGGGGAGCTTTTGATCCACAGGGGTTTCTCTTTGTAGCCCTGAGGCTGCTGCTCTCGGAGGAGTTCTTAGGGCATACCTGCTGGAAGTCAGACTCTCACTCCTGGTCATGGCTGCCCAGCTGGAGGTGTTTTCTGGACTGGAAGTCTGTGAAGGTGGCCAAGTTGAATTCAGAAATCCAGGTGGCTGACCACCTGGCCTTTTGGGAGTTCTTGGTATCTTTTTTTCAAGAGGAGAGGTTCCTCCTTTTGCCAGGGAGCGTCCTTTCCGAGGAGTGACTTTTGGTGGAGATGGTGAATCCCAGCCAGGTGAGCAGTCTTTTAAGGATGCCTTAAAAATGACCTGTTTGCTAGGGGTCACTTCTGTAGGGTTTTTTTGCCGCCTTTCAGGGGTGTACAGTGGAGTTTGCGGTGTACGGGGGAACCTTTGTGGTGTAGCTTTAGAGGAGCCTGGAGATTTTCGGTAACTCTTCTTAGGAGTCTGTAAAGAGATACTTGTTTCAGTGCATACACAGCATGACCCATATTCTCTATCGAGCATTAGAATAATCTCTAAGACAATGAGAAAGACAGATGGGAGATTTCTGGGCAGCTGAACAAATGACCGTAAGCTGGATCTCAAATAGTGACACATTTCCACTTCTAACCATGACCCAGATTTCACTTGTCTACTTTTTCTAGCACCAAACACTGAATCTAATCTTGATTCTAAGACAAAATTTTCATAGTATGCATGCTCCAGCTAAAATAGGCTTTGCCTCTAACGATATATCACTCCACTCCCAGCTACTTTTCTCTTCAACGAGACAGCGCCTTCTGGTCTCTGCCTAATGTGGCCTCCAGATATCACATCACCTGCTATTCACCTGCATCAAACATGTGCCAGCTATGCACCCACTATGTGCCAGGCTCTGTGTGTGTGTGGGGGGGGGGTAGGGCGGGAGGGGTATGGAATATACAGATCCATAAGGTACAGCAACACAGATAACGTCTCAGGAAGGACACCCCAGCAAAAAAATTTCCCTCCCTTCCTGCAACATGCAGTTAAACATCCCAACAGGTAAAGGAGATCAGACACCCATCATTTCTACAAACTTGCTCGATCATCTCAAGGGAATACTGATTTGGTGAGCATTTCATGTTCAACGGGGTATACAGCCAGATGATGACACAGTGGTGCCTGTGCACTGACAGGGCCATGCATGGGACAACATGGGGGCACAAGAACAGGCTGGCTGTCTAACCCAGCTAGCAGGAAATGGGGACAGGAATAGTTGGGTCTTTAAGAATGGGTGTCAGCAGGTAAAGGAAAAAGATGGGGAGGAGGGAACTCTTGTGCCTTGGGCTCTAAAGTTTTCTACGCCTAAAAGGAACAGCACCAGCTGTGTGCAGACCAGCATGCAGCCTGATGTTGCCAGGGACATGGAGGACAAAGCAGGGGCGGGGCAAGGGCCACAGCCAGCCCACAGAGGCCTGTGCCTGTCTGGGGAGGACTGAACCTGGTCCTGGAGATCAGTGGTCTTCAAACCCATTCCCATAGTCCTCCCTCAACCTCTAAGCAGCTTATTAGGTTTACAAACAATTACTTTTTTTTTTTTTTTTAACACAATGGTCTCAATTCAGGAAAACCTAGAAACCCTGCTTTAACAAAGAGTAGTAGAGCTCTAAGCAAAGTGATGCAGTCTGAAAAGATCACTGTAGCCTCTGGGGGCAGGACGGACTTGAAAGGAAAAAAGTGAATGAAATGTTACAAGTAGAACTGAAGTAAGGCAGGAATAGCAGGGGATGGAGAAGAGGGAACGCAATCAAATAGTCTGTAAACTGGCAGGATTGATTGATTGGCTTAGTCTGGTAAGAGGAAGCAGTCCAGAGAGACTCCCACGTTTCTAATGTGGGTGACTGGATTGGGTGGGCAATGTAAGGGAAACAGAGGATTGATCCCTGCCCATTTCAAAAATATATATACATAGCATGATAAAAATGGTGGATGAAACCAACAGACCAGGGGAGATCATTTCTATTCTCTTGGCCTCTACCAGACTGCTGTCTTACATCCCCACATATCCAATCATCATTCATCTGGATCCACCCAATGACCTCCAAGTAGCTATCAGTCTCTATAGATCACCTATCTTCTCTTCCCTAATGGACTCAGTGGGTTTTCTTGGCCATGTCTCTGTTTCCCCCTCACGACCACACAATTTTAAACATTATAGACATGTTATACCTGATATGCAGTGGGTATGTCAGAGCCCAATGGGTTTCTTGAAGGCCTTTGAATTCGAGCTGAACACTTCTCAGAGGGGCTGACCATCTCAGACATTGCCCCAAAAAGCAGCCTCTTAGGAGAACGAATACTTTGGTTTGGAGAATTTTCTCTTTGGTCTGCAAGTCAAAAACAGTGATTCTTGCTTAACTCCTGCCCTCCCAGTACTATTAGAACAGCCAGTCCATACAAGATGACAATTTTTTAGAGCAAGTGGGAGTGGAGAGGGAACCTACCTAATTATGCCAGCAGCTACAATTATTCCTGCCATCTTGAATTTTAAAAAGACTCCATATTAACCTGAGCCCTTACATTATGCAAGTAAAACTATTTGTAAATGTATCTGAGGATCCAAACCAATGATGGATGAAAGCATGAAGGACAAACATATCACCTTCCACCTAGGACACCGAGTGTAGAATATGAACACAAGGTGGAAATAATGGGTAATTCCTGTTAAATGAATAATTACCTCTTAAGGATAGTATGGACCAGCTGTAAGAATCCAAAGGGAGGACACTTAAGGAAGGCCATGGATTATTCATCACCCTGAACCTCTAATGGGCATACCTATTCTACTGCTCCAATGTCAAGAAAGAAAATGTCAAATTTTGTAGTCTTCCCAAAAACACTTCCCACCAAGTAGGCACCGACTTCTGAAGGCAGATGTCAAGCACGTTACCTGACTTTTCTTGCTGGAATGAGTGAACTCTTTGCACACTTCGAGACTTTGGCTGAGACCCAGAGTAGAAGGAACCAGAATTTGTCCTGCTAAATGACAATTGCTTGATTCGAGGACTTCGTCTCAAGCTTACTTCTGCAAAAGCAGATTTGTAGTTTATAACGAGGTAGAAATGCAAACTTTACATTTTCCATTTATGAAATGGGTCAAATTTATGTAGTGCCACACACATGATAAAAATTTGACAAATTACTAACTTTGAGATTTCTAAAGTATTGTAACAAAGCTACAAGGGGTATGATATATAGCCCCAAAGTCCAAAACAACCACTGACCCTCCAGACAGTCCCTTCAGAAGTTTCACACTGCAGCCCTTTTAACCATCATGTTGGGTTTAAAAAAAAAAAAAAAAAAAGGTGTGTATAGTATGACTTTTGTAAAATTTTTTTTAATTTAGGAATTGCAGTTTTCATGTTTATGTTATATACATTTGTATAGAAACAACACCTCTAAGTATTACTAAAACTAAAATGTTAACAGTATTTCTGAATTGTGGGATTATCAAGCAATTGTTAAAAACTTGGCTTCTAATTTTTCTTCAATAAACAAATTACTTGAATCATTAAAAAAGAAGTGGTTTTCTTGTTTTGGGGGAAACTTCTGTATCACCTGTTTTTTAACATTTTATTTCTAAGTAATCTCTACACCAAACACGAAACTTAAACTCACAACCCTAAGATCTAGAGCTCTGTCTTCTACTGATGGACCCAACCAGGTGCGTGCCCCTACATGTTCTTTTAAAATAAACAATAGCCCTTTTTTGTATTACACAGTGGTTAGACTGTATGCTGACATCCATTTCTATTGTGTAAAAAAATTTTCTCCAGAAATCCCTTGGGTAAATTCTGTGTAAGAGACCATTTACTAATTTATACTGTGGGCCCAAAGCTATCACAATGTCTGTAAAATATCCTAGGATATGCTAATTGATAGCACAAGTACAGAAGGGCTTTCATAGAAACTAGTTAAAATGCAACAGAAAACAGGGACACCTCAGTGGCTCAGTGGGTTAGGCATCTGATTCTTGATCTCAGCTGAGGTCTTGATCTCAGGTTCGTGAGTTCAAGCCCCGAGTTGGGCTCCACATTGGGTGAGGAGCCTACTTAAAAAAAAAAAAAAAAGCAACAAAAAGCAACTGTAGGTAAATACCGTCTGCTCCTTTTTCTGGGGACTCTTCAACAATGTCAATATCAGGACCAGGATCAGAGGACCTTAAGGAACAAAAGGCATAAAGATTATTCAGCATCACTCATTATTAACATACTTAATGCACATTAAAGAGAGAGCCTCTCGCCTCACAAAGCAATAAAGACCACAGAGTTTGATAACACCAGTGTTGGCACGCACTCTCATATGCTTTACTGTCCAAAGTAAAACAGAACATTTTTTCGGGAAGCAGTTTTACAATGTAAAAATTAATTAGAAATATGTATGCCTTCTAAACTACCAATTTCACTTCTTGCGATTTGTCCTGTAGATATCTTATACAAGTGTATAAAGTCTGTACACAAATAATGTCTAGAAGAAGCCTTGACAAGCCCCTCCCTATTGTTTCTGTTAAGTGCAGCTAAAAAGCCCTGGTCATAAAAAGCCCCAACAAAAGCACTAACGATAACAACAACATTCTTATATATAGAATGACTTACAGACTAAAAGGTGGCAGGAAGAAGCAAACTGGCTGAGGTCCTCAGAACCCCAGGTGAGACAGGGCAATAAGCTCCCAGAGATCCCTTTTTGCTCCATAAATCCCAGACTGGGTGCTGGGGGAACAGACAACCCAGATATATGAACAGGAACAAAAACTCCCCTAAGGAAAGCCAGTTCTCTCTAGCGAAAGAACCAGGAAAGAAGCAGCCTCACATGACAAACTTTCAGATGCTAACTGCCACGGAAAACTGTGGCCCCACCACACCCAGAGGCCAAGCTGAGATCCTAGACTTCCAGGCTTGCCCAGCAGCAATGAGGACTCCCTCCGTCCAATTATGAATGCTTTTTAAAAATGTGGAATATCCATTTGATGGAATGCTTCTCAGCGCGCGCGCACACACACACACACACACACACACAGAATGAACTGTGGACATATGCAACACCACGGATAAATTTCAATTATGGCAAATGAAGTAAGTGAAATAAAAAGTACATTCTGTATGGTTCTCCAGCCCTCATGGAATTTATAGAATGTTAAATGCTTTTTGGTTATAAGACAGTTAAGACCTACGTCATGAGAGGGTTGAGATGATGGACAGTGGCCCACAGGATCTTTAGCAAGGCCGTGTGGGTACACAAAGCAGCTAGACAAGGATGTTCTCACCTGCCCTTGATTTGTCTGTGAAGAAGCCTTCTGGACACTTGCTTATGTACTGGAGTTTCAGCCACACTCCTAGTCAACAGTCTGTGATAACCTAAAATGTAAATGGCATAAACTTCATTTAACCTTATCCAGAAGCACCAACAAGGCAAAAGGGGCAGTTTGAACTTATGTATGACTTACTACTCATACTAGAGTGGTTTTTGCTTGTTTTCACTTAATGGTTTTTAGATTAAAGTCTCACTATAGGACTCAATTTAACATGATACAACAGCTCATCAGCATAAGAGATTAAATAGTAAGCCAATGTAAAATATCGTAAAATTATTCTCGGGGGCCTGAGTGGCTCAGTGGGTTAAGCGGCTGCTTTCAGCTTGGGTCATGATCCCAGGGTTCTGGGATCAAGCCCTACATGCTGAGCAAAGAGCCTGCTTCTCCCTCTCCTCCCTGCTTGTGCTCTCTCGCTCTCTCTCTCAAATAAATAAAATCCTAAAATTATTCTCTAATAAGCAATTCTGAAAAAAATGAAAAACACTTATTAAAGCTAATACATTCACTCATCAGTTCTTTCATTTATGATTAAATGAAATAAAGTATGTGAAAATGCTGATATGCCATGCAGATATTAAGGTATTTAATAGTAAGATCCAGCTAGCTGGCATAAATTTCCCCAGTAGAGTATGTAACCAAGCTGCTCATAGGTAGACTAGTTTAAAAGGAGTTACAAGTGACTAGGAAGAGAAGTGATTTTGGCAGGAATGTGGCATAAGGACCTCTGAAATAACTCTTCTCCATAAAAGGAATGAGAACACTGGGCAAAAATAGGCAAAATCAGCTTTTTTAGAACTCTGGAAACTAACCAGTTTATTACAATCCATGGAGTATTTATCCAACAAAAACAGTGAATCCCAGTAAGAGTGAGCTTCACAGAACTTTATCTTGCCCAGGTCCCCCCTCTCCCCAGTCCTGCAGCCTTGAGAACCAACAGTCTGCAATCACTGTGCAAACCAACAGCCCAGGGGCCTCTGAACAGGGCTAAGGTTCCTCCAAAACACCATTCCCAGATCTCATTATCTGTCCCGTCTGGCAGTTTCCTGCAAAACCCCACACGCAGGAGTGGTCTCTATTTGACCCGACTCAGAACTCACCCAGTGCAAACAACCTCTTTCCAGGGAACACTTACTGAAGCCAGTCGGCAGCAACTGTAAACATCACTGCTGCCAGAGAGACTGCTAACAGCTGGGGCAAACAACAGGCTAACCAAAAGTTTAAAGGGGAACACTGGGAAAGGAGACATCTGTAGGGGCCTCTGCAAACCTCCACCATATTCCTGGGAATAATAAGCCCAGAATAAACCACTAAGGCTGAAGCTGTCACCCATGACTACCCTCGAGGTCTCCCACATTTAGCCAGGCAGTTTTCGTTCTCTCTGAAGGAATGAGCCAGCTCACCTAGGGCCCTCAGCAGGAGCTGAGAAACTAACTGGTTCCAGACATTAAAGGAAATCTGTCGCATCGTTAGTGGGATCACTTAAGCTAAGTGAGCAGACGTCAGTAGCCACATGAGACAGAACAGACTTTAAGGTAGTTCAGCAAAGTTACTAAGCCAACAAAAGCACTAACGATAACAACAAACCCTGGTTGGGAAGGGACAGGTCTGGCTGTCAGAACTGCCTTTGTGAGGTCCAGTGCTCAGTACAAAATAAGACATGCAAAGAAACAGAGGTTAGCCCAGGCGCAGGAAAAAAGCAGCAGTCCCTGAGGAATTCCAAACATCAGATCTGTTAGACCAAGACTTTAAAAAAGCTGTTTGAAATACAAAGACCACATCCAAAGAACCAGAGGGAAGTATGAGACTGAAGACTTGCCCCATAGAGAAGGTCAATAAAGACAGAAATCCTAAAAAAGAACCAAACAGAAATTCTAAAGCTGAAAAATGAAAAACTTATTAAATAGGAGGTGGGAGAAGAATCAACAAATGTGAAGATGGGTTAATTCAGATTAACCAGTCCGAGGGACAGAAAGCAAAAGGATGAAGAGAAACCATCTCGGACATCTGTGAGACACCATCAAGCATAACATCCACGTACTGGGAGTCTGAGGAGGAGAGAGAAGCACAAAGAACATCTGAAGAAATACTGGCTGAAAAAAATCCCAAGTCTGATGAAAGACCTCAAGAACCTCAATAACCCAAGAAGGATAAAGTCAAAGAGATCCACACCTGCACAAATCATAAACTGTCAGAAGTCAAAGATAGGATCTTGAAAGGAGCCAAAGAGCAGGGAATTCATCAAGTATAAGGGATCCTCTAGAAGGCTAAAGCTGATTTCTCAACAGAAAGAAAGGACAAAAGATAATGTGATGGTATATTCAAAGCGCTGAAAAGGACTCAACTGAGAAATCTATATCCAGCAAATTATTGTTCAAAATGAAGGAGATTAGCACATTCCCAGATTAGAAACAAACTCCCTCCCCCCAAAAACAAAACAGAATTTTTAAGTAGCAGATCTGCCCCACTAGAGGGAGTCCTTCAGGCCAAAAGGAAAGGGCACTCAAGAGTGAGACCAATCCATGGAAAGAATTAGAGTATCAGTGAAGGAACTACATAAATAAATATAATGTATAGCACAAAAGCATTTTTTGTTTGTAACTCTTTTCTCCTAGGAGTTAAAAGATAAAGTGATAATTATAAATTGGTATTGATGGGGGTGCCTGAGTGGCTTGATTGGTTAGGTGTCGGACTCTTGATCTCAGCTTGGGTCTTGATCTCAAGAGTCCTGAATTTGAACCTGTGTTGGGCTCCAAACTGGGTTATGGAGCCTACTTAAAAAAAAAAAAAAAAAAAAAAAAAAAGACCTAAATAAAAATAAAAAATATATTGGTGCTGATAAGTACACAATGTACAAAGATGTGATGTGTATGACAATATAGTACAAAGGAGGAGGTAGGAAACAACTGAATTTATAAGAGCAAAGTTCTTCAATACTACTGAAATTAAATTGGTATTCATCTGAATGAGGCTGTTACAAGATATTAATCATAATCCCCGGCGGGGCGGGGCAGGGGGGTAATGTCACACAACACTGGTGTAAGAAGCTCTTAGGATTGGTCTCCCCACTGAAACAATTAGTAAACTAGGGGGAGAAATGATCAGAATCAAATATTTTGGAGCTATGGAGCCCAACTGGATACTTATAACAATGAGGAAAATGTTTTATATGAAAGGAAGATGCTGATTTTTGGTAAGGGAATGCCATGCATAAACAGCTATGATCTCCTTTCCTCAGCTTCGCTCCACCTCTATGGGAGAGGTCCACATTCTGGGAGCAGCTGGCTCGAGGTAGAGCAGACAGACAGTGGACACCCTGTCTTCCAAACTTGGGGTTGTGTGTTCTGGTCAATCTGATGGATCCCTGAAGGGCTGATGCAGGTGCTTGCCCTGGTTTTGAACTTCTCAGGATGCAGTAGTTTTCCCTCAATGCACTCCTGGGAAGATTTTTTTTTTTTAAAGATTTTGAGAGAAAGAGAGTGAGCATGCTTGCGAGTAAGTGGAGGACGGGTAGAGGGAGAGAAAAACTCTCAAGTGGACTTCACATGGAGCATACAGCCCAACATGGGGCTCTATCTCATGACCCTGAAATCAAGAGTCAGACACTTAACCAACTTAGCCATCCACGTGCCCCACCCCGGGAAGATTTTTTTTTTTTTTAAGATTTTATTTATTTATTCATGAAAGACAGAGAGAGAGAGAAAGAGAGAGAGGCAGAGGGAGAAGCAGGCTCCATGCTGGGAGCCTGATGTGGGACTCGATCCCGATCCCGGGTCTCCAGGATCACACCCTGGGCTGAAGGCAGGTGCTAAATCACTGAGCCATCCGGTTCCCCACCCCTGGGAAGATTTAAGAGACAAGTATACCCTCTTGCTTTTCCCTTTTTGGAGTCAAGACATTTAAGGAAATCTTTGTCAGGTCACTGATTAACCACAGAGATAACAGAACAAACTTCAGTGACCACACACACATGGAATACAAACTTTACAAAAAGCTTAGAAAACAGAGAGAGAGAAAAAAAAAAAACAAAGCTAATGCTCTCAATACACAACGATTAGCAAGTGGGAGAATCTGGTTTCCAGAGTTATCACATTATAATACTCAGAATGTCAAATTTTCAACAACGAATACAAAGAATAGAGAAGTAGAGCCCATTCACAGGAAAAAAACGAATTTGATGTAAACCATCCTCAAGAGATCCTAGACATCAGAATCACTGGTCAAGGACATCAAATCAAGTTTTCTAAATATGCTTAATGAGCTCAAGAAAATCATGAATTACTAAAGGATATCAGGAAAACAATATATGAACAAAATGAGAATATCAATAAAGTGATAAAAATTAAAAGAAACCAAATTTTCAAACTATTCCAAAGAATAAAAGAGGAAGAAAACTTGTAAGTTCATTCAAGAAGGCCAGCATTACCTTGATACCAAAACCAAAGATATTCTAGAATAACTACAGACCAGTATCTCTGATTACCATAGAGGTAAAAATCCTCAACAAAATATTAGCAAACTGAATACAACAATACATTAAAAAATCATTCACCACAATCAAGTAGGATTTATTCCAAAGATGCAAGACTGATTCAATATTTGCAAATTAATGTGATACTTCACACAAATGAGAAAGAATACAAACCATATGATCATCCCAAAAAAGAAAAAGCATGTGACAAACTACAATATCCATTCATGATAAAAACTCTCAGCAAAGTTTAGGTTTAGAGGGAATATACCTCAATGTAATAAGGCCATAGATGAGAAACCCCCACAGCTAACATCATACTTAATGGTGAAAAACAGAGCTTTTCTTCAAGACCAGGAACAAGACAAGAGTGTTTACTCTCAAATAATTTCTTAATTTAAAATTTTTTAAAGATTTTATTTATTTACTCATGAGACACACAGAGAGAGGCAGAGACATAGGTAGAGGGAGAAACAGGCTCCCTAGGGGAAGCCCAATGCGGGACTCCTCTGAGCCGAAGGCAGATGCTTAGCCACTGAGCTACCCAGGTGCCCCTCTCAACTACTTTTCAACAC